TTCTCATACTGTGAGTAGCAGAATCACCAGAAGGGCCTGCTAAAACAGATTGCTGGGGGGCCAGCCCCATGGCCAAGTGGTTAAGTTTGCACACTCCGCTTAGGTGGCCCAGGGTTTCGCCGGTTCGAATCCTGGGCGCAGACATGGCACCACTCATCAAGCCATGCTGAGGTGGCATCCCACGTGCCACAACTAGAGGGACCTACAATTAAAAATACACAATGATGTACTGGGGGGCTTTGGGGAGAAAAAGGAAAAACAAAATCTTAAAAAAACAAAACAGATTGCTGGACCCCACCCCCAGAATTTCTCATTTACTAGGCCTGGTGTGGGGCCTGAGCATTTGCATTTCTAACGTCAAAATTCCCAGGTGATGCTGATGCTGCTGGCCCAGATTCCACACTTTGAGACCCACTGACTCAGAAGAATCCATTTCATCTGATGCAGTTCTGGGGAGCTTGGCTGTGTCAAGAGTTTAAACATTTTGCTTGATCTTCACATATACACATATGCTACCTTGTGCCTCCTCCACGCCAGTGAAGGCAGAACCCAAGCCCTGCCTAACAGACACCTCCATCCCAATGGAGAAAAGGGGGCCTCCCCTTCCAGAGCTCATTTAAAATACAGAAGACTCATAAGGTATGCCATCCCATTTCTGAGAGGATACTCAAAGAAATTGATAGCAGTGATGCCACTGGATTGGGGGAACTGAGGGCTGGGGACAAGGATGAGAGAGTGACCAGCTTTTTATTGTATATCTGTTTGTCTCTTTTGAATTTGGAACCATGTAGATGTATTGCCTATTCAAGAAAAGATTTAAATAATGTTTAAGAGTGCCAATCCAAGGGACCCCAGGACAGTCAGACTTGTCCCATCTGAGGGCCAGAGACAAGACCACCCACAGGCCAGTTCCCAGGTTCACAGTGCCAAGCTCAGAGTCAGCAAACAGAATGTATTCGAGGTATGCTCTGGCTCCAGGAACTTGGGGAGGAGAGATTCTCCTCCAAGCAAGTATAAAACCCAGCTTCCCCACCCCTTCTGCTAATCTCTACCAGAGCCTAGCACCAAACTGGAGGAGGAGCCTCTGATGTGCCAGACAGAGACACAAACATCCAGCTCAACCTCCCCGTGGAGCTCTGGGCCAAGGAAACTTGCCAGGGCCCCTTTCAGGGATTGCAGAAGTGCTAGGAAGGCCGGGGAACCCTGGTGAGAGGGGAAGGGAGGGGCAGACCTCCAGGTGAGAAAGGGCTTGTTGGGGGAAACAGTCTTCTGTCTGAAGAGGAAGAGCATTCCTTGCATTCCCAGCCCTTCTCCTCCTGAGAAAGGGACAGGGAGGGAGGAGCCCTTGATTGACAATAGTTCTTCACCTCTTTGGTGTTGAGGCTCCATCGGAGAAAATGATGAAAGCAATGCACCCTCCCTCCAGGAGAGAGCCCACACAAACTTTCACCACAGAATCTCAAGAGGTTTGTGAACATCTTAAAGCCCAGCCGTGAACCCGAGGAGCCCTGTCCTTCCACTACTCAGGCACTGGGGGGGAGTTTAACCAACCTCTGCCTCAGATACCCCAAACGGCAGGATGTTTAGTTGGCAGGGCCCTATGTTGGAACTCTGCAACTGTCCTACAGTGAGTTTATTTCTATATATTCCTCGGAGTCATGATTTGTTTCCCGTCTGTCTCCCCCACTAGAGTATAAGCTTTTGGAGGACAAAGACCTTGACGCTCAGCTGACTCCTGTGACCCCAGGGCCTCCCACATGGTAGATGTCGATAAATGTTTGTTAAAGACTGTATCCTGAACCAAGGCAGACTGGCACAGCAGTGGGGAGATTTGCGCAAGGATCCCTCACAGCCATTTCTTGTTTGCTCCAGTAACAGGACCTCTTCCTGGCCTGGACTCCCTGCCCAATTCAGTCACCATTTTGGAACCAGATGTGCCTAGACTGCCAACTCTCAGAAGTCACATGATTTATTCATGGCGCAGCTCTACCCTGTCAGTACACCTACTGATCCTCCAGATCCAGGTCAAGGAGTTCCCAGCCCAGGCCCAGCAGAGCGCACAAACCCTCACCCGCCCAAGAGCACCAAGCTGTTCAGGGGCAGCATCGAGCACAGCCCCAGGTCCCAATGACTCTCTAACTCCAACCACCTTCAGTCCCAAGACATGCGGGTCAGGGGCCAGGAGGGCTGAAGCGATCTTTCTGGTGAGTCAGAAAGCAGGGCTCTAAATGATTCAACATGGAAAAACTCGAAACCTATCTGCCTTCAGTTACAGAGGACAGTGGGGCGGGGCCAGGGGAGCAAGGCAGCTTCCAGGCCTTGCGTAAGCCCCAGAGGCAGGTAAACAGTGATCTAGTACCAGGCAACATGGAGTCCAGAGCCTCTGCTCTCACCAGATGCTTGACCCTGCTTTTCCCTCCTCTGGCATGTGCCCAAGGCGCTCCTCACCAGCTGTACTCTGGGAAGAGACCAGGACCGAGTTAACTCAGCTTCGTCTGTCAGCCTCTGCCCTTCCCGCCTGCAAGGAAGGGGAGCACACTCTGCACCTGTACCAGACAGCCACTTCTCCCTGAGTTACTCATTAGCCTGCCCTGTCCCAATTCCATCACCTCTGGCTCAGTCATAAGCATCTAGCTTCCAACTAGGAGAGACAGGGTCTCCGGACTCCCGGCAGGAAGTGGGGGCGGGGTGGTTTCGGGTGTGTGGAGGAAGAACTGATGGGCTGGGCAATCTGCTACATGCTACATAACTGGCAGATTTAGAAAACGAGAGAAGTAGAGGTATAGAGATTAGACTCCCTCAGAGGTAACAAGGAAAGCAAACGGTCAGAAGAGAAAAAGACAGCTCAGTGACCTTGATCATTCAGCTCCTATTTTCTCATAAAGAGATACAGAGATAAGAAGGCTCCCCGCAGATCCAAAACGAATCCCCGAAGTGGACTCCTGGCTCGGTCCACTGAAAATGGCGAAACCTGAGAGCCAGGCTAGATAGAGCTGTCTGGCCAGTGGGAAAAAAAAAAAACACAATGAGGAACTGGGCCCCTGCAAACTGGCTGGACTGGTTTGAGAGGCAAGGGGAAGGGGAGGGCCAGGGAGACTCCACTGGAGGCTTGTAAAGCAGACCAGACAAATTCCACCCCAGAGGAGGCAGGGGGCAAAACCATGGGCAGGGACTCTGCCAGCCTAGATGCCAAGGCTCTGAAGGAGGAGGTGGAAGGTAGAGAGGAAACAGGCAGGTAGAGCACAAAGAACCTGGTGAGTGACAGGCCAGTGTGTGACAGACTTTGTCTCCCTTGACCCCTCCCTCTCAAGTTCCCCAAGTTGCATTCCTGATCCCACACTTGCCTTGGCCACCTCCCTGGCCCTTAGTTTTCCCTCTCTGACGTGAAGAGAAGCAGCCCTACCCCTTCCTCACCTCCCACAGGGGTGATGGCATGCAGGTCAGCCTGGGGAAAGCAGGAAGGGTTCTGAAAGCCAGAATCCTCTTAGGGTCAGGCAAATCTGGATTAGCAGTCCCCTAGAGCCAGCCCCCTACTCCCAAATTTCAAGGATGAACGAAGTACAGAGGCACGCGTAGGCAGCCTAATGACAACGGTTGCTAATTATTTCCCAATTACAACAACTTTCCTCAGGCAGGGCATCAAAGGGGCCAAGTTAAGGCTGGCTCCGTTCCTTTACCTGCCTAAGGCAAGGGAATTTGCCTCAGAAGTCTCGTCTGTGCCCCAATGTGCATCCAGCCTGCAGATTGGAGGTGCTAACTACCCTAGTCTTCTGGTCTCCGGAGGAGTCCTGCCTATTTCCTGCACTACTAGTGCCTACTGCCAGTCTGACAGCCATTGTGGTCCAGGAGTCAGGGATGCCTGATGGGGTTTCAGGGAGTCATGTGGATCTTCTGAGAGGCATCAAGGAAACTGGTTAGGCTCCCAAACCTCACCCAACGGCCCCATGTAGAACCACATTAGAAAGCATGTGTGCTTGGGGGGAGGGTTTGACATCAGCCCCCAGAAAGAGGCCTCATTAGAAAAAACTATGTCTAGACATTTTGTAGGTCTAGGGATCTAAGCTTCCTCATATCCCTCCCTTAGAGGGTACTCTGTCGAGAGGAAGAAGGAAAAATTCTCCCTGGCATGAAAGCAAGGGAGGACAGAAACTGAAAGCCTTAAATAGTTTCACACCTGGCAAAGAGATGGCGGTGCCCTCTTGTCCTGCTCTTCAGTGTCTCTTATTTGCAACTGGCATCCTCTGCAGGTGAATGGTTAGAGAAAGATTCCACACCTCAGAGCCATCCCAAAGCCAGAAGGGATGTGTCAGCACCAGCTGAGACTGGCAGTAGGGGGAAGAACCTCAGGAAGACAGCACTTCTCGATGCCCTCCCCATTACGTCTCTGAACCTCAGGGAGCAGTTGCCTTTGCCCAACTGAAACTAACTCCCTCCCCCCCACCATCCCGGTCTCCAAGAGAAACTCTGCCCCTGGGACCTGCGTCTGACCTCCAGAGAGATCCTGGCCCTGAAACGCTTTCCTGCCCTAGGAATAGCCTCAGCCTCAAGTGCCCCTCACCTGGCACCTTTCCAGGCACCTGCCCCTGGCACCTTGGAGTAGGAGCCAGCTCTTAATCAGTACTCCCAGCCTACCTTGACCTCCCCTCCTCCTGTCTGCAGCTCAGCACCTGTGCCCAGAAGGCGGGTGTTTCAGATTGCCCCGACCTGCGCCCCTCAGGGGTACACCTGAGGGCTCGCTTGCCTCTCAGGTGCCCTTGCCCCCGCCCGATTCACTCACCCCAGCCGGGCTCGGCGCTCCCGGGCTCGGGCTTGGGCTCGGGCTCGGGCAGAGCTGCACGCGCGGCTCCCGGGCCCTCCCCCTCTGTCCCTCGGCGCTCCCTCCTTCTTTCTCCCCCTCCCACCAACCTGTTACTCCCCTCCGGAGCTCCACCCCTATTGGCCGTCACCACCTGCCCCGCCTTGCCCTTCTCCGGTTGGTCCGTTTTCCGCGAGGGGTGGGGCCGCCGTAGGGACCCGGACCCGGGGTCGCCAGCCCGGGTGGGCCGGGTCACGTGGGCCGGCGGGCGGCAGAGCGCCGGGGGCGGGGCGGCGAGGGGCAACTGGAGGCCATTTTGGGGGCGTAGTGGCCGCCCGTGACCGCCCCCGCCCGGGCCCCGGCCCCCGCCCCGCGAGCCGCCCGCCGGAGCATCTTCTCGCCTGAGCAGGTAAATAGCTGTGGCCTCCGGTGTTCTCAACGTGAATCTCGGTCCAGACCCCTTTCTGCCCTTCACCAACCTCCGCATAAACCAAATTACTCTTCCGTCACTTTCTGCAGAAAACATCTCTCCGGTCCTCCGATGTCAGAGCCTCCTCCACCTCGGGTCGTCTCCTTTTCCCCAGCCTGAGCCAGAACCCCAATCTAGGATTCTCTGTCCCCTGGCCTCCACTGGTATGTTTTTCTCTGTAGTGTGTATCACCTTCCAATTAGATAATTCAATTTTAAAAATCATATTCATCGTTTGTCTCTCTTTCTACAATAAGCTCCACCAGGGCAAGGATCTCTTGTTTTGTTCGCTGCTTTATCCCAAACGCCTACAACGGATGGCAGAGTAGGCGCTTAATAATATTTGTTGAAGGACTGGGAACGGGGGAGGTAAGGTTATATTGAATAGGAATAACCCTCATTCTAAGTGAAAGGGGACTCAACTCCAGATTGTAAATCTACTTTAGCCTTTCAAGAAGTGGGGAAATTGATCCCAGTCCCCAGAAGAGTGATGTCCGGGTGCTAAGCAAACTACAGGCACTCTGCTAATTCAGTAGCTGTGGTTAAACAGCTTGCAAGCTGGCTTCCTAGATTTTAACCATTAAGATATGTAAAAAGGAGATTTGACTGAGCTTGCGTTACTGGGCTCTGGATATTGTTCTCATTTATTCAACACATATTTATCATGTACCTATTTAGGGTTGAAGAGGAATCTTAAATGGAGCTGACAGTCTGCTGCGTCGCAGAAGCTCGTTTGCTTCCCCTCCCCCATCCTTGGGAAGCTAGGTGTGGGTCCTGGAGGATAAAGTCCACCTACCAGTTCCTTAGCTAGGCTGCAAAGTCTCAGCATTCCAAGGGAACCTTTATATACAGATTAGAGTCATCAAACCGGCCCTTGCCCTGGGGAGGAACAGCAAAAAAGGTGTGGGGCTGGCTCCGAAGAGGAGGGTCCCTCCAGGACCACATTGTCTCCAGACCACTGGAGAGGTTTTTTAAAGAGTTGGTTTTTTGTTTTTTGTTTTTGAAATGTGAGATTGAATTGACCCAAATATTGGAAAAGTGGAAACAACTAAACTCTCCTGGGTAACAGCTTAATAATTAGGATACTTAGTGTATTTGTAGTAAATACAGAGTTAGGGTAGTAAAAGAGACACCCCACCCCAGCACTGTCAACACAGATTACAAGGAAAAACCCAGAGGCCTCTGAGTCACCATCTTTGTCGTCTGTTCCTGAAGGAAGCACTCTGACTCAGAGGGACACCATCATCAGGCGCTGGTGGCAAAGGTGACAGATGCTGAGGCCTTTTTCCAGAGTTTGTTACCTAATCAAAGTGGGTTCAACTCCAGGCGAGTTAAATCAGACTCTCCACCAGAAGTAGTTTCTTACAAAGTAAAGTATATTTGTGGCAAATAGGAGACCATGGGAATCATTTCCACAGTCGTGGTGTCCCTGAACAAAGGGGAGCGGGGACTTTTTATTTCAGATGGGGAGTGAATATTCAAAAGGGAGCGGTGGGTATTCACTTGCACAGGCTCAGTTGGAAAACCTGCTTCCACATACACTGCAGGTTATGGGAGCAAAGCCTAAGCTCCTCCTGGAGAGATCTTAGCATTAAAAATAGGGCAAAGGTCATAGACCTAGCTTTTGTGGTGAGGTTTGGCCTGGTTCAGGGTGGTTGGTGATTGCATCTCCTTAACATAACAAAAGGAGAAAAACAAGTTGGAAAAACAGTTAAATGCTTCCAAAGCCACCCTTGAGTTCTTTGGGGCAACTATTCAGTGACATTTGTTGTCCCTCTCCTTAAGAAATGTTACAATTTGGCAAAATTGGCCAGTTTATAAATATGGCAAAGGTAGAAAATTAGAGCAAATATAATATCCAGAAAGAAGAAATAAATTACATTGGTATATATTCAAGAGGATAATTTTGCTTTTGTGAAATGGTGTAAAAGAGAAAGTTCTAGGTAAATTGGAAAAGGTTTCATCAAAGAAGTGAATTTGGAGCCGAATTCCTGTCCCACAATTCTTTTGTGTGTGTGTGTGTCTGTGAGGATGGTTGGTCCTGAGCTAACATCTGCTGCCAATTCTCCTCTTTTTGCTTGAGGAGGATTGTCCCTGACCTAACACCTGTGCCATTCTTCTTCTATTTTGTATGTGGGACACCACCACAGCATGGCTTGATGAGTGGTGAGCAGGTCTGCACCTGGGATCCCAACCCAGGAACCACAGGCCACTGAAGAGGAGCTCACGAACTTCACCACCATCCACCAGGCCAGCCCCACCACAGTTCTTTCCTCACTTCTTTCCTGAGTTCCCCCAGACTATCACCACTACCACTAACAACTCTACTGAAATCATTTTCTCAAAGATCACGTGTTAATCTGTGACCAGTTCCTAAATGAAGCAGCAGGGAAGGATACCCAGGAAGAGAAATTAAAGGTAAATAACTGAAAGGAGGTGATGCACCCCATTGGCTGAGACTGAAAGGAAAGGAGACAGAAAAAAAAGGCTTGGGGAAGACCTAGAAGAGGAAGAATATAATAAATTAACTTTGGAACTTACTGTCTTGGAGAAGTAGGTGGGACATCCACACACACACACACACACACACACACACACACACATACACAAAGTCTAGAAAACAACTGGAAAGGAAGCTTAGAAGAGAAGTTAGGGGTAGAAACAAACCTAAGAATTATCCTCATAGATGCAAAAGTTTGCAAAGAGGACCAAAGAACAAACCTTGAGTGGGGAAAACCCAAAAATCAGTGATGGAATAGTCAGAGAAGTAGGTGAAAAAGTCCCAGGAAGACAGGTGTTCAAGGAGGAGCAGAGACTGGAATTTGGCATTTAGAAGTTTTGGTTGATCTTCCAAATGTCCATTTCAGTAGAGTGGCAGACCCTCAGCTCAGACTGCAATAAGAGAAGTGTATCAGAAAAGAGAAGGAGAGAGTGTACCTTGACTTAAGGAAAAGGAAGGTGAAAGAAAAGAGAAGTTTCATGTTCATTTTGTTTTTAGGAAGAAGAGACTTGGTTATACTTTGGGAGCAAGCCAAAAGAGTAAGCAAGATTCAATAAATAAAGGAGAGAGAGAACAGTGAAAGCCTGGACCTAGAGGAAAAGTCCGTGTTCTATAACTTGAGTTGGAAGACCGGCTAGGAAGGAGTTGGAAGTTGAGGGAGTTGAGTCGGATAACTTGCGTTCACCAGGTTGCTGCAGCTGCTAAAGAGAAGAGTAATTCTGAGGGCCAGAGACTTTGTGAACAAGTTTTGGACCTGCCGGAATTACCTCCAAGCCTAAGGAGGGATATGATAAGTGCCAAATGAATGGCAAAAGTGAAAAGCTCCACCAAGTCTCCCTGTCAACTAGAATAGGGTGGTATCTAATCTGGGCCTTGGAAAACAGGTAGATGAAGTGGGTGGAGGGATGGGGTCAAGAAAATGTGCAAAGGCCTCAGGGCAGGAAAGCGTGTTGTTTGTTGTGGGAACTGAAAGGAGATCCCACAGGCTGAGCACAGGGACAGGGGAGTAGTGGGAAATAAGACTGGACTGCTAGACTCTGGGACAGATGATGTAAGGCCTTGAATATTAGGATGAGGAATGTGGGCTTTATTGGTACATAATGGAGAACTTGAAGGTTTTTAAGCAAGAAAGTGGCAGTACTTTCCAGAAGGTTGATCTAGGTCAGTATGATAAAGGCAGTGGCAAGGCTTGTTTGAGGTGGGCCCTACACTGAAGTGGTGCCAAAGGGAGGGGAAAGAAGAGGATCACCCACCCTGATGTCCTTTTAGCACATTACTCATCATTTCTTTCTCAAGCTTTGTTTGCAAATAATTTGCTCTTCAACAGCAATCATAACATGTAATTAAACGAACACTTGAGGCTTTTCTTGGTTGAATAAAATTTCTATTTATGGGTATTATTAGGGGCGATAATAAGAAATGGTCACTTTATATACTCACTTGATATAGTCTTCCAACTTTTGGGTTCAGCATCTCCAAGAGTCCTCAAAAGATGTTTCATTCTTTCTGACCCATGTCCTTCACTCTTTCCACAGAGATTTTATGAGTGGACATCACTGAGGCAGAGCACTGAGTTAGGAGTCAAGAGACCTGTATTCTAATTTTACTTCTGGGAAAGCTGTAATTCTAGCCAAGTCTCCTAAAATCTCTGGGACTCAGTTTCCTCTGAGATATTAAAAAGATGATCCCAGATTCCATAATTATATTATTTCCTTTGAGCTTCTTGGAGAAAAAAGTCATGTTCTCTCTTCCAGCTCCTCCTTTTATCATGGGCTGGGAACATGAGTAAGTGTAACCATATCTGATACATAACAGGGTGACTGTTTGGGACAAAGAATTCCAAGCAACCTTTTCAGACTAATCAGAGTCACTCCCTGACAAGGGAAAGACTCATCTGGAAGCTCATCAAGTCGCCCTGCACCTCTAACCCCTTTATCATCCCAGCTGCCCCACCTCTAATACTCTTGAGCAACTAAATTCCAGTATGTTCAAAGTCTCCAGTATACATTCAAGAGTATCATTTAAAAGAAGAAAAGAGCAAGAAGGTTACATATTTTCAATTCTGATGGAAACGAAAAGGAGCAGATTCCTTCTGCATAATCTTTTTTTTTTTCTGAGTTGGTAAAATGCCATTCTGAGGAGAAAGCCAGCTTTCCTTCGCACACCCAAACAACAGCTGATTCCACCTCCCGTCTCACTTTCCTTTCCTCATCAGTGAAGGAGGCAGAAGCTTGGCAACTTAAACCTGTACACACATTCCTGAAGCCCCAGTTTCTCTCACAATCCGTGGTGACAAAGAGTTTCAGCAGAGTCCCACTCATTGCTTGATTTGCTTAGATTCTTTATCCGAATTTTTAGAAAGATAAGAAATAATAAGTAATAATAATAAGAAGAAAGAATCTGCCATTCAACTACCAGAGTGCAGTTAGCTGTCAGCCTGCAACTACATTACCTTTGGGATCCATTACCGTGTCAGAGCTAAGGCCCCATTCTACCTGAGCAGCCCCTAGCCCTTGACTAGGCACAGTGTGGGTATTAGGGCCTGGCCATTTCTGGCCACTATTGGACTCCTGTAGGACACTCTTTTATCTGGAGCTTTCCATTGGGTTGACATTGGATTGGAAGGATCTGCATCATGGCTTGAGGTTTTCCTGGCCCAATTTTGTTTCCTACATCCTTTCCTTTCGCAGATACCAAATCTGCATCAAAGGCTTTCCCTGCCTATTCCTGCCTCCTTCCCCTTTATCTTTCCCAGTTATTACCACCCAATAAACCTCTTGCACTCCTAATTCTGTCTCAGCATCTGCTTCCCAGACCACCTGAGCTGACTCGGTTGGTTCCAGGAGTGGTCTGAAAAAACAGGCAGTAACATGGGGTTTGGGAACTGCATTACTCACCACCTGGCTGACAATAAGCACCCCTCCTGGATAGTACGTGGGTGCAGATAGTCTCTGGGACAAGATGGTGGCCCAGTTGCTAAAATTTTCACTGATGGTGAAGTGGAAAAATGTTCCTATAAGGCAACAATTCAGGCATGGGACTAGGCGGAGGGATGCAGTGAATGCAGGGACAGTGGAATTGGCTGACCGTTATTAGTTGCGTTGAGCCCTGCCAAAAGATAATGAAAAGCTGAGAGCAGTTACCAAACATTGAAAATTAATGGTGAAGGCCAGAGAGCCTCTTTGATGGGTTACAAAGAGGCCCTTATCTACAGCAGTGGGAGAGCAAAAAAAGCTGAAGACCAAACTCAGGACTTAATAGAGTTCCAGGACGCAGATCTGTAATCAAGGTCAGGGCCCTGGTCGGGAAAACCTGGCACTCTGACACATGGAATGGAGATATCTAGGTGGTGTCCCCAAAGATTTTGGCTTGCTATGCTCTTTTGAACTCTCAGAGCCTTAAGAGGGGGCCCACCTCTCCCTATTAAGAGCTAGCACTCCCTCCATGTGGGAAGACACTGCAGACGCCTCTTCCCCTCAGAATTTGTCTCCACCTTCTTTTCTGACTGCCAGGATCTTAATTAGGGTTAAGTTACAGTGTAGTCCAGTGACAACATGCTGGTTCTGATGAGGGAAGAAGGGACTATACCCCGATGTAGCTGCAAAAACTAACTGATATGTACAGGTAAGAGTTGGGGAGTATCTATGGGATTGGATTTTGATGGTGCTTAATCAAGGGGCTGAAATACAAGACTGGATGAGGGGCAGTTTATTGACTAGGGCCCACTCTCTCAGGATAGAATTTAACTTCCTGGTTAAGACCTGCCCCGCCGTGGCTCCTAGAAACATGGAGGAAGTGACGACCTTTGCTGAGTGAAGTTCAACTGCCTGAATTTGCCATGGCAATTGGAGGAAGAAAGGATTAAATGGCTCAGTGAAGTACGCATGCTAGAGGCAATTATAAGAGGCCAGAGGCCCTACCCAAGTATGTTTCATAGAAGGTCTAGAGGAATTTCGTTTACCACGGCCATCAGGAATGTGCTGGTGAGAGGGGTACCAGCATCACTAAGAAGCTCAGTGGCTACTTTCTTCTGCAAGCGAGAGCTGACAAGAGGAGCTGCTGTCAAAGCTTGGCTCCGTTATAGCAATGGAGATAATGGGGCCCCAAAGCAATAGAAGCAAAGTGGCAGCACTTAACTGCCAGAAGCCTGGGGGTTACAATTATCCTAATGACTAGCAAGGTCAGAGTATTGCCCAGGGGGCTTGACACAAAGATTTGTGTAGATGGGTAATAGAACACGGCATCCTTAGGGGCAAAATAGATGGGCAGTCAAAATAAGAGTATTGCTGAATATATGTAATCAAAAGAAAGCAAAAAGAGATGAACAGGAACCTAAGGATGGAGGCCCCAGTAAAAAGCATGATCCCTTATCTAGTTCCCCAGCCTGACTCAGTTTTCAGACCCAAAATTCAATGATTAAAGGGTGGCCAGGTCTCCAGGACTGGCAAGACAATGGTAAGTATATATTGTAATGATTCCCAAGTCCTTCCAAAAAGTGACTTATGACTATTTATTCAGGTGACTGTAAATAGAGAAGAGAAAACCCAGGCATTTGAGGACTGTTGAACACAGGATCTGAGTTAATAATGATACCTGGAAACCCAAGGCGTCATCCTCACCCACCTGTTGGAGTGGGAGTTTGCCAGGGCCAGGTAATAAATAGAGTCCTAGCCAAAGTCCAGCTTCCAGTGGATCTATCCGATCTAGTCAGAAGCAATCTGGACTCTTTGGACTCCTGCAGAACACCTCTTTGACCCATTATGTGCTGATCCGTCAGGATGAGCAAGGATAGCTAGCATACTAGAAGTCTTGTGCTCCAGAGTATGAAGATAATCCCTACAAAGATTCAGGAGCCTCCCACATCAGTAAAGTTTTTACGAGTCCAGTGTTTAAGAGACATGCTGGGACATCCCTTCCAAAGTAAAAGACACATTGCTGCATCTTCCATCCCTTACCACAAAGAAGGAATCACAGTACCTGGGCCTCTTCAGGTTGTGAAGGCAATACTTTCCACACTAGGAACACTGCTCTGGCTCACATGCTAGGTGACACAAAAGATTGCTGGCTGTAAGTGGGGCCTGGAGCAGGAAAGGAAGAGCCCCACTGTCTTAGTCAGCTCGTGCTGCTGTAACAAAATACCACAAACTGGGGAGCTTATAGACAACAAACATTTTTCTCACAGTTCTGGAGGGTTGGAAGTCCAGGATCGTGGCACCGGTAGATTTGGTGTCTGGTAAGGGCTTCCTAGTTCACAGATGGCTGTCTTTTCATTGTGTCCTCACGTGGCAGAAGGTGGGGAGGGATCTCCCTTGGGCCTCTTTTAATAAGGACACTAATCCCCTTCATGAGGCTCTGCCCTCGTGACCTAATCATGTCCCAAAGGCTCCACCTCCAAACATCATCACGTTGGGCATTAGAATTTCCACATATGAATTTTGGAGAGACAGAAACATTCAGACCATAGAACTCGCTTACATCACTCTCAGTGACCCACCGGGGAATTTGTGCTTCCTGTTCCTGCGACTCTGGGCTCTGCAGAGTTCAAAGTTCTAATCCCCAAAGGGGCATACTCTTTCCACAAAGATCACATTGAATTACATGCTGTGGCTGCCGCCTTGGCACTTTGGACTCCTTGTATACAGGGGGAAGCAGGCAAGAATAGAAACATGGTCACTGGTAATGGACCCTGATCAGGGAGGAGGTAGGACTGCTATTACACAGTTAAGGCAGGGAGGAATATGTGTGGTGACCCACCTGGGCACCTGTTGGTACTCCCTTGCCTAGTTGTAACCATGAATGGGCAAATGCAGCAACCTTAACCTGAGAAAGGGCCTCAAACCCCTCAGGAATTAGGGTTTGGGCTGCACCACCAGGTAAGCCACTGAGACCAGTAGAGGTGATGGCTGAGGGCAAGCAGGATTTAGAGCAGAGAAAGGAAACAATGAGTACCAATTGTAGCCCTGAGACTAGCTGCAGCAATGGGGGCTGTACTTTCTTCCACTAACCTCCCTCTGAGTTTCTCCTCAGGAAGAGAGGTTCATGGAACCCTTGCCAAATATGTTTGTAGAAGTGAATCCACATGATGCAAGGGGTGGACTGTAGCAGCCATGGAGGTGCCCCCCCTTGAATTCTCTTCAAGAAAGTACTTTCTGTTCAGCTGCCAGGAGTGCAGTGATCACACAGCTTCTGGCTGCAGCACCTTCAGGATTCACTAGTACATTCATGTTGAGACCACGCTCTTCCCAGGCAGGCCCCAGCCAATGACTGAACATGAAGTGGCTGCTAGGACCTGGCCATTTCTGCTCAGCATGGGTCTCCTCTAACTGGTAATTAGGAAATCCTAATGAGGCTCTCCTCATTAGGCTGGCTGAGACTTGGTCAGATCTGCATCATAACTTGAGGCTCTCCTTGCCCAGTTCTGCTTCCTCTCTCTTTATCTTTCACAGGCATTACCCCCAATAAACTTCTTACGCTCCTAACTTTGTTTCAGCATCCGTTTCCCAAAGGACCAAGACCAATGCACCCAGGCAATAAAACAATGTTAAACAGAGAAATGAAAACTACATATAAAATGTGTGTGTACACACACACACACACACACACACACACACACATTTTTTTAAATGTGTATTTATGTAGCTGAGACCTGGAAGAAGACACAGAAAAATAAAACTGGTTGATCTATTAGAGTAAAAGAATTGTGAATGAATTTTTTTTACCTGTCCTTTATCATTGACATGAAGTTGTGTATTCATTACACAAAAATAAAGAGAAAATAAAGATATTGATTCTGAATCTACTTTCTGCCTCTTAAAAGCTATGGGACTTTGGCAACTGAGTTTTAGTTTCCTTGTCTGTAAAATAAGAATAATAATTGTGAAAATAAAATGAGATTAAGACTATGAATTCGTTTTGCTATTGTGTAACACTATAAAGTTAAAAATATTATTTTGGGGGCCGGCCCAGTGGCGCAGCAAAGTTTGCACATTCCGCTTCTCGGCGGCCCGGGGTTCGCTGGTTCGGATTCCGGGTGTGGACATGGCACCACTTGGCAAAAGCCATGCTGTGGTGGGTGTCCTACGTATAAAGTAGAGGAAGATGGGCATGGATGTTAGCTCAGGGCCAGTCTTCCTCAGCAAAAAGAGGAGGATTGGCAGTAGTTAGCTCAGGGCTAGTCTTCCCCAAAGAAAAACAAAATTTTTATTATGGCCTGGGGTCCCTGATATGAGGAAGTTGGTCAATCAACAAATGTTTATGGAGCATCTGTTATGAGTCAGGTACTGTTTGTATTATTTTCTATGGCTGCTAGAATTAACTGCCACACATTTAGTGGTTTAAAACAACACAAATTTATGCTGTTACAATTCTGGAGGTCAGAAATCCTAAAATCAAGTCAGCAGGCTGCATTCCTTCCGGAGGCTCTAGGAGAGAATGTGTTTTCCTGCTTTTTCCAGCTTCTGGAAGCTGTCTGTATTCCTTGGCTCATGACCCCTTCCTCCATCTTTAAAGTTAACAGCACAACATCTTCAAATTTCTTTCCCACTTTCTGACGACTGCTTCTGTTGTCACATTCGCTTCTTGGACTCTGATCATCTTTCCTCTCTCTTATGAGGACCCTTGTGATTACATTGGGCCCACCTGGATAATCCAGTATATCTTTTCCATCTCACAACCCTTAATTTAATCACATCTGCGAAAGGTCATGTGAGGTAACATACTCAGGGGTTCTTAACTTTAGGAGGTGCCATCTTTGGGAAGCCATTATTCTGCATTACTGTGGTGATACAGT